ACTTGCATTCAACATTTGTATCCCCATTGCCCTTCAAATTACCTTAAACTTTGCTTCCTTGGAGAGTGTGATACTCCAAGATACAAGGTGTAGTATTACCAGGAGAACTTGGTGTTAAAAAGATCAACTTGAGGTTATTAAAGGCATTAATTGCATAATTCCCCAATTTAGCAGACTGTACATTTACATCTCTCTGTCTATCTGTCTTTCTCTCTGTCTTTTTGCCTATCACTATACATTTTTAAGTCTTTTAAGATCTTTATGTGGGAGTTAGAAGACCCTGGGGTCTTATCACAAGTCTGTCACTTCACATTAGGTAAGTCATTTTATCAATCATTGTCCTGGTTCCCTTATCTGTAAAAAATGAGAGAGTTGGACTAGAAGGTCTCCAGGTACCTCCAGATCTTATATGATCCTATGTGAAGGTTAGGTTATTTCATGAAAATATGTATTGTGTGCAACTATGATTGGTGTTTACATATAGGACACAGTTACATTTTTTTTTGTATGCTTAGAATCCCATTTTGGGGATTTTTGGAATTCCCATTCTGGGAAGACAGAATATGAAGATAGTTGGAAAAGAATAAGACAGCAACATCTGAAACCATCGATGATTGAAAGAAAAACTGTAGTAAAATGGATTCTCCTAACACTTAGCTACAGTTACATTAGTTGACTATATCTGCTTCTCCCCTTAGAAAGTCCATCTACTCACTCCCTGTCTGTGAGGCATATTTGAAACTCTAGCTTGTCATTTTCTGTTTTGCATTGATGGCCCTTTGCTTTAAAAAAAAAAAAGTTCTTTAGCTTTAGTGAATATGTTTCCCAGATGCTCCTAGAAAACCATGTTAAACTTCATTTTAAAAGTTAGCACAATGCCCCATTCTTATTTGCCCCATTCTAATTTCTGTAAGAATACAGACTGCTGCTAATCTTTGTGGCTAGTTATTCCTGTCCACTGCTGCAAATCTTACATAAGAGTAGTGGTTATTCTTCTAAAATATCTCTTGGTCTTCACTAGCCACCCCATTGAATGTATTCATTATTTAGTCTGCCCATAGCATGTGGATCTTAAGGTGTTCAGTGCATGTCGTGAATATCATAACTAGGCATATCATGTTACTATGAATGTGAAAAGGGCACAGACTATTTAATTCTTGATACTTTGTAATATATTTCATACAGTGCTTTTTAACAGTTTTTCAATCCATCATATTAACATAGCTTTGTACAAAATATTAATTGTATTTTAACTTCAGGAAGGTGTAACAAAATGTAGATATTCTAGTATAAATTGTTGTATCAAAAAACAAGTTAACATAACCCTTTACCACTTACAGTAAAAATCTTTATTAGTAATCTATACTTATTTAAGTTAATTTTTAGGGCCCTGCATTAGCTATCCATTTCTAAAATATCCATTGGATAACATTCTGAGATGGCATCAAACCATGGTTTTTTTCATTATTCTTGAATTAGGTTTGGAGATTTTTTGATTCCGAAAACATTAACGTGACTAATTTTAAGCCATTGTTGCCCTCAAATCAAACAGTGAAGGTATAGATTTGTGAATGGTTTTCATTCAACTCTTGATAATATATTTGTTCCTTTCAAAAATATTGAATACCTTTATGCTTTAATCCTAAACTTTATTGCTTGCTACAGTGAGACACTATCCCAGATATATCATTAATTAAATTTGATAACACTTTTCTATGTACAAAAATGTACTAGTGCATGCTGCTGCCTTGCTAGTTTTAAATCCTATACTAATTCTCAATTGAATAATATAAATTTAGTAACAGTATACATGCCACTGAGCAGTTTACTGCTACAGTTTTAAAAATTTCAGATGAATGTAATTTCCTGGCATGTGATGTTTTAAGTTTTTGGATTATGTTCAGTATTAGAATAAGATTATAGTTCACATTTGCACATTACTTTGCACTTGACAAATTTCTTTTTGATATTCAGTCATTTGATTCAACTTTAGGTGTTAAATGTCTATTATATGCATAGCAACTTGTCAGGTAAATAAAGGAGATTAATAAGACTCGGTCTCTTCATTCGTGAAGTTAACAATGTAGAAGGAGCTAAGTCACCTATGATGTGAATAACAATAATAGCAATAATGATAAAAATAATAGCTAATATTAATATAGAACTTACTATGTGCAAGCAGCTAGACACTTTGTGAAATGAAAATATTACCTAATCTGATCTCACAGTAACCCTGGAAGATAGGTGCTGTTATTATCCCTATTTTACAGTTGAGGAAGCTAAGGCAAACAGACTTAAAATGACTTGCCCAGGGTCTTAATCTAAGTTTCTGAGTCTGGATATGAATTCAGCTCTTCTTGCCTCTGGGCCCAGCTCTCTGTGCACTGTCACCTCGCTGTCAAATTTTGAGGCTGATGAAGCAAACTAAGGACAACAAAAAGGTGAAGGTTTGTTTGTTTGAAGCTATATAGGGTAAAGAGAAGTACAGGTTTTTGAGAACTGGGAGAACTCAGGTGGTCATGATGATCTGAAAGTAGAAGAGAGAGTTCAGGACTAGAGATAAAGATTTGGGGTCATCTACACACTTGATAGTTGAAGCTATAGGAATTGATAAAATTGTCAGGGGAAAAAATATTAAGTTGAAAGAGGGTCAGAGACAGAAATTTAGGAAATATTTGTAATAAAAAAGTTAGGAAGGGGAACCAGGAAGGGAGACAAAGTGGTCATAGATGTAATAAGAGAACCAGGAGAGTATAACCCCAGTCCAAAAAGAAGAAAGTAATCAACAATGTTAAGCCTCAGAGGCAGATGACTGAGAAAGGGTCTTTGGTTTTGGCACTGTGGGGGTCAGAACTCTTTGACAGCTAGGAAGGATTAAAGAATAGATGAAAATCATGGGGAGTTTTGAATGAAGAAAAGTTCATTGTATGATTTCAATATTGGTAGAGGAAGAGGCTAAGTCAACAGGTGCTGCTCAGTATATGGTATTGGGGCAGGCTGTGAAGGAGAGAAAAAAAAAACGTTGCTTTGGAAAATGAGTGGGAAGATCAATGAGAATTGAATCACCTTTCTAAAAAGCAGTGATAGATTTATAATGAGTGAAAACAGCACAAATTTGTGACTATCCAGTGAAATCTAATAGCCTGGGAATTAGTAGAGACTACCAAGAGTTTTTTTCAGAAGGTCAGGATGTGTGAGATTCTAGCTTTGGGGACTAGTTAATCGTAAAATAACTGACCCTTTTAGTCAAGACAGGTTCTAAAGGAAAATTGAGTCAGAATGAAGAAGATAACCAAGCAAATTTTGATATATTTAAAGACATACGTGACCTAGACTGTCAAGCTCTGGAAGATTATAGAGATAATTAATGAATAAGTATATGAAAATGCAATATTTATAAAAGAGTATTGAGAGTAGATTAGAATAATAAGGGATTAGACTGAATGAGACTCATAGATTCCCCAGAATGTTAAAACAAAAAGGATTTTAGTGATTACTTAATCTAATACACATTATCACTCTGTTCCCACCACTGCTTCACCCTCTTTTTATAGATGAGGAAAAATATACTCAGAGAAGTTGTGACTTAGCACAATTGGTAAGTCAGAACTAGAACTAAAATCCATTACCTGACTCCAAGTTCAGTGTCCTCCCTATTACAGAGCCAGCAGAGATCAGTCAGCCAAAGAGAAAAGTCTGTCCATTCAGCTAAAGATTAGGAATCAAAAAATCATCCTGTACTAGCCAAAGCATTCCTTGAGACAGATTGATAACTTGGAAGGTCTGGGTTTTATTTAGGATATATCTACTTTGAAGGAAAATCGGAATAGAGTAATGGATCCTAAAGGAATGATTTAAAGAAGAAAACTAATATTTGGCTCCCAGGACAAAATAAAAAAAAAGCAAGTAGTTAGAAAGAACCTATTTTGATCAATCAATCAATAATATTTACTAAATTCCTATTATGTGCCAAGCTCCATACTCAGTGCTGGAGATACAAAGGCAAAAGATAATCCTTGCTATCAAGGAGCTCACAGTCTAATGGGGGAGACAACATGCAAACAACTCTGTACAAATAAGCAACATATTAGACAAATTGGAAATAATCAATGGAGAGAAGGCACTAGAATTATGGAGGATTGGGAAAGGCTTCCTGTTGAAGGTGGGATTTTAGTTATCTGCTATATCCTACATTATCGAATGTTAAAGGAAAAATCGTGGCTGCTGAAGCATGGAGTTAGAGGCCTTTCAATCATAGGGTCAGAAGACTGGGATTTGGAGTTTTAAGGAATGTTTTAGATCACTGAGTGAACTCTCTTTATTGATTGGGGAAAAAAAAAACATAAAGATGACTGAGCAGTTGACTTGTTGCTTAAAATCACAAGTATTAACTAACTCTGAGATTTGAATGTAGGTTCTGACTCCAAATGAGTTCTTTCTAGTAACACTTTTCTAAGACAGAAATATCTTTCTCTCCTGTCCAGAAATGCAAATGTAAGAGGAATTCCAGTGGGCAGGCAGGGAAGCAACTTTTTATTTTATATCAGTTTGGAAGGAGGAATGTATATACCTATTGGAAAGCTTTGGTAGAGATATTCTCAATCTTTAGCCAAGCATGATTTGTGTTAGAAATAAAATTCCCTTAGTGCTAATACCATCACAAACAAGAAAGTTATGTCCTTGGTCCATAATACTAGTGCTTTTATCTAGTTAAAAATTACCATTTATCTATAATAAATAATTGGACAAGTGAAACAAATATGTTTTTAGGCCCTGCATAGGTAGTAGCCACTCTATGATGATACCTAAATGTGTTTGTTCATCCTTCAAACCAGAGAAAGGGAAGACTTAGTAGTTCTGTGGTTCTTAGCATTAAGTAATAAAATAATTGCCTTTGAATATCTTTCTTCTGCAACCATCAGAAAACTACTCCATATCTAAGTATCTTTGTGATGCCTTTATATGTTGGAATTAAAATACTTTGTAACCCACTTTTACAGAGTTTTCCATCTGATGAAGGCTGGCCATTTGCAAAATACCTTGGAGCGTGTGGAAGAATGGTGGCTGTAAATTATGTTGGAGAAGAATTATGGAGCTACTTCAATGCACCTTGGGAAAAACGTGTTGACTTGGCTTGGCAGTTAATGGAAATTGCGGAACAGCTTACCAACAATGACTTTGAATTTGCACTCTACCTCCTAGATGTCAGTTTTGACAATTTTGCAGTTGGTCCTAGAGATGGGAAGGTGATCATTGTAGATGCTGAAAATGTTTTGGTTGCAGACAAAAGATTAATTAGACAAAGTGAGTACTTTTAATTTTCTTTCTCCATTTCTCACAAATTCAGTTTGCTACATATAGAATAATTTTCCCATTCTCTGTGTGGTTAGTTTAGGACTCCTTAAGTTAAGAGCCATTCTTACTTTTCCTTATGTTTTTTCATTTGTCTAAGATCAGGGGTGTCAAGCATGCGTAGACTCATGAGGCCCATAGTGCTCTGAGTGCTGCTGGAACCAGATTAAAATGCAGTTGGGAAATATTTAACAGAGAATAAAAATAAAATAAAACAAAGATGTTAATATGTGGTTTTCTAAGTCAATATGTGGCCCTCCTTTATTTGGACACCACTGCTCTAAGATGACTAAAATGGGTACCTACCTATGGTTGACCCTACATATATTTGTATGCTGGCTCTCTCCAATATGAAGCTGTATTAAGTCTTATATACTAATGTATTTGTATTCTTGAAGAGACTTTTTTTTTTAAAGAAATGTAACCGTATCTTCATCTGTATGAATGCAGAATTAAATTTCACAGAGAAACTCGCCGAGCCCATGTTCAGAAGTGAGAAGAAAACATACTAACTGTACATCTATGGGCAAGTCATCTGACCTTTCTGAAGCTCTATGAAATAAAGGAGTTGGATTTTGAGGATCCCTGAGATCCCTTTGAATTTGTGCCATTCAGTGATACTGTGACGTGCAGATGCCAGAGCCTCCTTTCATAGAAGCTGCTTCTGGTTGATCTATATTCCCTATTCCATTCTTGATGTTTCCCATTGTCCCAATGAGTCATTCCAGGAGCCACAGTCCTCATCCTGGAACCCTGTGTTTTCCATGTTTGCATCTTGTGACAGAGTGCTCCTAATCACCCAACAGGACAAATAGGAAAAGAGACTTTGGGAGGCAAAAGTTGTTTCCAGAATTGTTCAAGAAAGAAAATTAAAGGGAAGCTTGATGTGTGGTGCCTTGAGAAATACACTGCATAATTTTTAAAATGCTATTAAATATTCCCATCCAAGGTATCATGAATCCTATTTCCTAAGTGTTGATTTATAATAGGAGGAAACTTTAGAGCAATTCCTTCATTTTACAAAGAGAGAAAGAGAGACTCAGAGGAGTCAAGTGATTTGCCCAAGACTTCGTTCATGGCAGAGCCAGAATTCAAACCCTGCTTCTCTGATTGCAAGTTCGTTGTTTCTGTCATATCATGATGCTTACTACATTCACACATGTTTAATTAAACCTCCTTTTGCAGTTCCCTGTGAAGCTTTGTTGTGACTATGTTTAATTTTTGTTATCATTTGATTAGCCTTGACTTTTTCTAGATAGTGTGTTTTGGATAGATGCCGCCTTCCTCCCCCACCCCAATCCTTTGCTTAAACTTCCCATATGTGTTGCTATTTATATAAATGCAAACTTTTGGCATAAAATTAATACAATCATTGAAATTATTTTAAAACTTTTTTTCTATAGTCTGCCATTTAATTTTAAATTTAACATTTAAAATTGTTCGTGTGATTTTAAAGTACTGAGTAAATCTTCATTCTTTGAAAAGACATACGTGTGTGTGTGTGTGTGTGTGTTTCCGTGTGTTTCCCAGTAATAACCAGTTTTTATTCTACAAAGAATCTTGCTCGTAATTAGGCTGTCTCAAGACCAGATTTAGAAAGTCTTATAAAATCCCTAATTCTTTGAATTAAATCTATCTTATCAGTACTTCTGTGTGACCCATGAAACAGATAAGAGGCTAGGTAACTACATTCAATAACATAAAATCAGATTCTGATTTGAAAGATACATGTCTTCATTTTTTTTAATTGCCCTAAGAACATTAAAATTGATAGTTATAGCTGCCACTAGTGATCTGAGAATAATTTGTTTTTGCCCTTCTTCCAATCACCTTCTAGATTTTTCAGGAAATTCCCTCCCTAGTGGAGACTTAGTGGTATTAACATTGACAAATCTAGAGCCTTGTGTGGCAGTCTCTGATAGCAGTGACTCTAGTCTCATTGGCACTCAGCTCTCCATAGAAATGGTTTTTAAAAAGATGGTCAGAGTCTGTTACTATTAGTAGAGTATAGCTTCAGTGAGAATTAAAATAGGCAGGGTGTGTGTGTGTGTGTGTGTGTGTGTGTGTATGTATACGTATATTGTGTATGTGGGTATATGTGTTATATGCATGTGTGTGTAATATACATATATCTGTGTCTATATGTATAAATGTGTGCATGAATATACTTGTGCTCGTATGTACATACATATGTATACATTGTGTGTGATGTAGATGTATGCGTCTGTGTGGAAGAGAGAGAGAGAGGTCTGTAGAAGGATATAAATATCTGTTACCTCTATATAAAAGGATTTTTTTATATGAAGACATATATATTTTAAGTTCCAAACAACTGACTTATAAGCAAACTCTTTACTATCTATCTTTACTTTACTATCATTACTATAAATGACACTGATGTTTAAATTTCCCTCTCTTACCTGGTAAAATATCTTAAGATTTAGTCCTGGCAGGACCATTAAGATTATCTCATCCAATCCCCTCATTTTACAAATGAGGAAACCAAGATCCATATATAGAAAAGAGTTTATCTTAAGCATATAACCATTAAGTGGGATAGCTAGGAGTTTAAATCCAAGTAATATGATATTGCTTTTTCTGCTATGCCATGAGAATTTTAGGTATTTTTTATAAAGGGATACAAATAATTTGTAATGAATGTTTCAATCATTTGTATATAAATGAGGCTCTGAAAGTGTTAAAAGTGCTGTTTTTCTGCAAATAAACAACTATAGCTAAAGAGTTTAGAAATTACTATAAGAGAAGCAACATTTGAATTGTTGCACTTTTGCAATGATTGACTCCTTGTCAAGGATGAAGCATACTACCAAAGTCTAATAAGAATATATTTGCTTAACAAAGATACCCAAAGATAGAAATGAGCAATGTATGTATGGGTGGGGGGGAAGAGGTTGTAGAAAGAGAGAAGCATTAATACACTGTTGTTAGAGTTAGGAATTTTGCACATATTTGTGCAAATGTGACTGGATGTGACTGTAGTCAAGGCAGTTTGTTCATGTCTTATTTAACCGTTCTGGAAAGTAGTTTTGAATTATGACAAAATGATCAACATGTTTATACACTTTGACATAGAGATGCTACTAGCAGGCATAAGATGTCAAAGACAGAAAGAAAGGTCTCATACACACACAAATATTTATAGTGGCATTTTTTTTCTAGTAGCAAAGAACTAGAAACAAAGTAGATACCCACTGATTGAGGAATGGCTAAACACATTTTGGTATATGAATGTAATGTGATGCTGTACTATAAGAAGAAGTGAATATGAAGAATATTAAGAAACATGGGAAAACTTATGAAGTGATGCAAAATGAAATAAGGAAAATCAAGAAAACCATATACACAATAACTTAAAAAACTATGAATAGGAAAAAAGCCCAATAAAATAACAGAAACAGAATCCATGAAATTGAAAGAAGAGCTAAGACTATATCTCCTTCTCTTCTTTGCCAAAGTGGCATATTATGAATGTTAAATACTACACATGACATTGGAGTTGGTTGATGTGTTACAGGATAGTTTTGCTAAACTTTTTTTTTTGTTTTTCAATTTCCTTCTTATAAAATATGGCCCTCTGGGAGAAAATGGAGGTGATGTAATGATACTAAAGATTTAATTTTTTTTTAACATATTTGCCTGGAGCTTTACAAATTTATTCAAGTGAATTTTTAATTGAAAAGCAAGAGAGAGTAAGAAAGCTGCCAATATTGAGAGTAGCTCCAGTTTAGAGATGCCCAGAAATTCACAGGAAGCAAAACTAAGGAGCAACGAAAAAATCTGTGACCTTGTGTCTATACATAAATGGCCAGGGTTTGGGTGAGAAGGGATGTGAACCAGAGAGCTTAATGCACAGAAACAAAATTGACCTTACAGAAATAACTGAAACTTGGTAGGGTGAGACCAGTGGCTGAAATTGTCTCACAGGTGGGATTGGCTTAGTTGAAGGAACAGTATAGGTACTGGGCAGAATGGTGGACATTAATAATTGTCATTGAATATTAAATAGTATATAATTAATGAGAGGAAATTTGGGACCCAGACAAGTGGAACATGATGGAAAACATTTTTAGTGAAGATCTGTGGAGGCAGAATCAGAAATGATGTATGTCATCATTGATGTATACGTTAGACAACCTGGACAGAACCAAAGAAGTAGATAGAGTTTGGGAAATGACTCACAAGTGTTGCACAAAAGCATGATAATAGTAGTAATAGTATATTTCAAGTATACACTTATCTTCTGGTTTGCTCTTTTTTTTTTTGGCCAAAAGCTAGTATGCTAATATTCCTTTTGCTCCCATTAATACTTCTGTCTTCCAAGAGAGGTGGAGGAAACTGTGAGGGAAATTGTTATTCTGGGTCTGATTCTGAAACAAGGAGGAGTAGATTACTATAGTAGAAGTGACGGAAACCCTGAAGGACAGTGACCGCTCTGTCTTAGAATTTGTGATAGAGAAGGAAAGAAAAACTTGTCCCATTTTGACATACAACCTCAGTTTTGTGGAGTGCAGCTTTCAAAATATTCAGTGATCAAATTTCTAGGATCCCATGGCTTAAAATTCTGCAATGAAAGTCCAACTATGTCATCCTTAGGAGTGGAATTCTGACAGTATAAAGGATTACAAGGAAGATGGGAGTAGAGGGGTTGTCTAAAAAAAAACAAAAAAACAAAAAAAACAGTCTATGTACACATAGAACTCTTACTACAGAAATGTGGTACTGTACTTTAAGACTCATGTCAGGATCAGTAAAGACCAGAACAAGCTGAATCTGGTTGATAGAGTTAACTCCAAAATGTATGAGTAACCACTTGGATTTCCTATTTCTGTTGTTTATGAAAAATAGTGTCAATGAAGGGGAAAAAGTGACAACGAAGGAGATTGATATGCACTCATTTTTCCACTCATTCTCTTTCCCTTATTCATAGAATTGTAAACTCAGTTTCTTATAAAACTTTAATTAAATTCGTATTTAGCTGCATATAAATGTATACATTTTCTTGCCTGTTCTGAAATAGAAGCCACGTTCTTCACTATAGAAGATACATATTACCTGCACTTGGTCATCTAAAAATATTATGTGAAGTAGTGAAATCCCTTGGATTTAGAATTGTGTTTGATAACATTTCATAGTGTATTTTCTTCTTCCTTCTTTCACAGATAAACCTGAAAACTGGGATGTATGGTATGAAAGCAAGTTTGATGACTGTGATAAAGAAGCTTGCTTATCATTTTCAAAAGAAATTCTTTGTTCTCGTGCCACTGTGGATCACAATTACTATGCTGTTTGTCAGAACCTTTTGTCTAGACATGCCACCTGGCGTGGCACTTCTGGAGGACTACTTCATGACCCACCAGGCGAAATTGCCAAAGATGGCCGATTGGAGGCCTTGCTTGATGAGTGTGCCCACCCAAAGAAGCGATTTGGCCGATTCCAAGCTGCAAAAGAACTGCGGGAATATTTAGCACAATTAAGTAACAATGGGAGGTAGTCCATGCCGATTGTTTTCCTTCTTTTTCCCTTTGACTAGCACTAGCTAAAACTAAAGATATCACTCTATGGGGAGAAATGAAATTTGCAAGAGTTACCTTCAAAAAATAAATTTAATCTAGTAAATCTACTCTGTTAACATTCATCAGATGTGGCATTTCAAAGATAATATGATGCTTCTCTGCAAACAAATGTATATCTGTTTTATGAAGATTTGAGCTACCATTGACTTTCTCCCCCTGACTTTCTCCCCCTGAATATCTGAGGGATGGATCAACAATTATTGTAAAGCTATTGGAGGTATCTGATAGCTTAATTGGCTTGTGTATCAAAGGGTACTTGACATAACCTGCATTAGTAACACAATTTTGTGAAGCTCTTGCATTTACTTGGAAAGTCAAGTTAGAATGGCCTGTTTTATAGGCCTCTTTTCCTCCTGATATGTGGGAGTTTTTTTTTCTTCTATTTTATGTTCACCTTATTAAATTTATATACATGCAGTTAAATGTAGGTATTACAGTTTTTTTTTTTAAAACTTAACTGGTTTTCATTCATTGCTGTGTGGTTCACATTTACTATGAGGGCAGGATTCCCAAGTTTACTGTCTTTCAACTAGTTATTATGTATATGCCAGTTGCTTTATTTTTTTTTAACATTCTGAATATGTTATAAATTTCATTTTTCTTTCTTGTGATTCTGTCATTGCAGCTTTCATAAGAGCGCTTCAGGTCAATTAGTAGTTATACAGATTTCTACCCACTATGCCAATAAGTATAATTGAGCAGGGAGTTCTTGGCATATGTTTCAAAATGTCCAAGTTAGATTGACTAGAGGCTTTAGGAAAAGCTTAGTAGGAAGCTACATTTTAAGATCTGCTTTTGGCAGGGGAGAGCGGAAACCCTGAAATTTTGTTTTTAAAGGTAAATTAGTACAATGGAGTAAATAAAGCATATGCCAAAGAAACATTAGTCCCTAAGCTAGATTTAAAAAAGCATTTCAAGTTCTTTAGCTTGACTAACCCTAGATTCATTGGTCTCCTAGCTGTTTTATTTTTAAGATGTAAATTTTCTTCATTCCTTTTTAACTTTTGATAACTGATTTCAAAGTTATTCTAGGGCTGTACATTTTAGGGTAATTTTGGTCATTTGTGTTTTGTTTTTGTGTGTGTGTGTGTGTGTATGTTATTTCCCCGAGTTAACAAAATCATTTAAGTTTATCAGTGTTTAATGTTTACCTAGTTCAGGAGGAGGCGGCTATTTTAGTCACAGAGGGACTGATGTAAATTTTTACTCCAAGGAAGACTGAACGTGAGTGTATTGTTGAGGCTGTTCAACCAATCTGCCTACTCTCTCAATTATGGTATTCATTGCTCATATACAAGGATGATAGCTCCTTGTATCACAGATGATAATGCTATGTGGGCCGTTTAAGGCTGATAATCATGCTGTAAGTTGCCTACCATTGATGTAGGTAATTTTAACTCATTTCTGTTTACAGTACAATTCAGTACAGTGTCTGATGTAAGACTGACCTTATTCTAATTAAAAAAGTGATTGAAATATGCACAACCAAAATAACTTTCTTGAAAATTATAAGAGCTTGGTTTTTGCATTTTTAAACAATTATCAATAGATCTGTAATATTAATAAAACAATAACCACTGTTTTTTTTACAGTAGCAAAAGCATGGAATTAAACCAAAATTATGGCTTCATGATGGATTATTTTGAGTACTGAATTAAAAATTTCTTTCAAACCAAGTTAAAATTTTTTTCCTTTTTAAAGAGCAGGGTGAAATAGAGTTGATAGTTCTGAAAATTTATTTAAACATGAAAAATTAGATTATATTTGCCAAATATAAAGTGAGTATAGATTATGCAAGTCATTTAGGCTTTAAGTTTTTTAAATATCGTAATCTCGCTCTATAAAACATTTCCTAATTGGAGAAAATAATTTAAAAGCTGTTTTGCAAATTCTGAAAGGTTTTGTTATAGGTAAATTTGCATTATCTATGGCATTCATCCCATACTCAACACTTTGAAAAGCCTTCAAGTAACAGCTACATTCTTGAAACAAAGCACCTTTTTATTTGGACACATTCATTCATATTGCAAACCTTAGAATACCAGTGAAAATCAGGAACAAAAGACCTTGACCTGACATTGAAATTGATGTTCATTTTACTTTTTTCTCTAAGTTTGATCTGAATGTATGATTACTGAATGGTATGAGAACACTGCCAGCAATGATCGATAGTAAAGGTAGTTTTTCATAACTGCCATTTTTCCCTTTTAAATTTGTTGTGGAACTTAGTTCCTTTTGAAATAGGCTGATAAAGCAGATTATGGAAAGAAATTGGAATTTTAAAACTATAGGGAACAACTTGTATGTGAAAAGCAATAAATATTTTGTTCAATTTGCACCTATCAGATATTTATTATACAACAGCAGTTTATATTTTTAACCATTGCCCATTAATAGACAAACTCAGTAAAATATTTTTGAATGAGACATTTGGGATTTGTATGTGCATTAAAATTGTCTTTTGTACTGTAAGTTACTGTTTAATTTCAATATTTTACCAGAACTGTCTCCCTGTGCCTTTATATTACAAAGTTGTTTCTACAACTTTTAATGATCTTAATAAAGAATACTTTACGAATTTCATCTTTTTCAAGCTCATTATTATCTGTATTAAACATCTAAGCTTGGTTTGAGTAAAAATAAATTTTTTTTATTGAATTGTAGAGTAGATAAGGGGTCAGGATTCCATTTGTTGTGCAAGCAAGAAATTTAAGGTGAACTTTTAAAAAAATTATTACCATTTCATTTAATTTGCTTCTGTACTTTTAATATTTTAAATTGCCTCTTGTTAGTCATTAATATATGTTATAAATGAGGAAGAATTCAGGGACCTTTCTTTTTACTAACATTTCCAGAACTTCAGTCCTGTATGTTAAAGTTGTTACATTTCTTTATAATGGATGATAGGGTGCCTTTTCCCCCTTGTTGAGACCAAGGAAGTTTGGGGGGATAATGAAAAACTTAATTTTAGTCTTTTATATTTCTTTCAAAAAAAGGTTCGTCATTTACTAGAGTTGTAAGGAACATAAAACATAAAATAGTCTAATGCCCTCATTTTTCTAATGAGGAACCTGCCACCTATAGAGATTAAATTAATTGCCCACTGTTAGACAGCTAGTTCATGGCAAACCTTAAAACCAGACTTGAATCTCATTCCCAGAGATCTTGTTATTTTATCATAACCATCTTTAAGGGCAATGAACATAAGTTTTGAAAGTAAATGTACTTAAATGAAGCCTTGTTTCATGCTGTGGCCAGTTCAGGGAAAGAAGATAAGAGGCAGAGTAATAGCGCTGGTAGAAACACGCTGATAATGAATCCTGGCTGGGTTTGGGAGGGGGTGGTAAGAGAGACTTCTAAGAGAAAAGGGATGGTGGTAGGAAAGGCCCATGGTCCCCACAATCCCATTTCTTACAGACAGCTGCAACTGTCCTTCCACCTGAATTTTACTAATATTTCCCATCTGAAATAGATTATACAAATTTATAATATGTACTCTGCTGTGTGTTATGGGAATGGGTGGGGAGGGTAAAGGTAGGATGGGCATCTAGTTGTAGATGTAGGGAACTCTAGGTGAAGGAAGATTCATTTACCAATGCAGATGAGCAACTGTAGTCTTAGTTCCTGAGGCACTCACTTGCCCAGGGTCACACAGCTAGTACGTTTCAGATGTGGGACCCTAGTTTAGGCTCTTTGGCTCTAAGACCTTTTCTCTATCCGTTAGGCCCTAGTGTCTCCTTTTAATCCCAGAATAAGGTGAGATAGGGTTGGTTTTGTTGTGGGAAGTGCCGATCTGGGGATCAGTAGGCCAAGATCTTCCCTTGATTTACTGTCAAATGTTAGGCAAATCATTTTATGTAGGGTGAGATCTATTATAGTCCTGTATTCTAGGCCTCTTGAGATTTTCTTGCATTTCTAGTCCTTTATTTCTTGCTAGATTGTTAAAATGTTTTTCTAATCTGTGATCATTTGACTTTCCTATCCTATCCTGGCTTTTTGGGATGGCATTTTCATAAAACTTTCAGAAATAACTCCGACATAATCTTTTAACACTTTTAAAATAATTCACACTTAGCAATAGAATAAGTGATATAAAACATTTTATAATCAGAATCTTTATTCTACTCAAAGCTCTGTTTCCTCTTGCCTCATACATTAAAACCTGCCTAGATGTCCACTATGTGAGGTAACAATTCCCTTAGCACAGTTTTGGTTATAGAGCAAATAAAACTAGAAATAAAATTTGGTTCCTAAGGTTTGGGGGATGGACTTAATTTTTTGGCTAACAGTACCAATTTTTAGAATCCAGTTAAGAGTAAATTAAGGATGTGGTTATTTTTTTTTTTATTTGAGATGTGAAAAGAGGGGATATGGTTGGTTCTTTCTAGCCTAAAATCAAAGCTGTATTGGTAAAAAATTGCTTATGGGGTAATAGAAGATTAAGTATTCATTCAGCATCCCCTTTGTGAATGTCATTAAACTAGGTACTAAGGTGAGAACAAAAGAAATTTCAGGAATTAACTCTTCCTTTAGAAGCATATAATCTATCTGGAGTGGAGAGGAAAAGTCTGATTTCTACAAAGATAATGGTTATACCAGATGATTACTGTGGATGAGTTTCAGCATACTCTGGAAAATGTAGTACCTATAAAACTTAAGGCCTTTCCATGATCTAGGCTCTGCCTTTAGGATTCTAGCCCCAGACTTTGGATGACCTTGCCCTTATTTTTATCCAATAGATAAAGAATTATAAGCTAGCAAAAATTATTACTTGGCTACAATTATTTTCTTTCATTTTAGGATTCTGTAGTGGAAAAGTGACTGGCCTGGGAGTCAAGACCTAATTTCTAGTTTCAGATATGCCATAGACTAGCTGTGGGATTTGGGTCAAATTTCTTAAAAACTCTGAGACTCAAGTTCTTCGCCTGTAAAACTGAGGACCTTAGGCCATAGGGTCTCTAATTTTATTTCTAACTCTACTATCCCATGATTCATCTGAACTACCCTCCCCTCTAAATTTCTTTTCAACAGTTAGGCCAAAGTGAAATGTGATAAAAGTAGAGATGATGAGAAATCCTTTAGCCCATCATGAATGAATGGGGAAAAAAAAGACTGAATTAAATGATGAAATGAAAATGAAAAAAAAAACACATTTTAATTCTTAAAATTATTCCCTTTCCTCAAGCAGTTTATATTCTCACTGGGAAAGACAACATATAGGGGAGTGGTGGCCAGAGAAGGGAACTTTGGTCTGGAGAATCACAGGAATATTGTGGTGATGTATAAGGCAGTTAATTGCCTTCCTAAGAGCAATGATATTGTTGATGACCATGCCCAGAGAAGGGCGTGTGTGTGTGTGTGTGTGTGTGTGTGTGTATACACATGTATATATATACACATACATATACATGTGTGTATGTATATATTTGTACACATGGTATGTTGTATTCGCCATTAGATTGTGAGCTCCTTGAGGGCAGAGATGGTCTATTGTCTTTCTTTGTATCCCAGCACTTAGCACTGTGGTTGGTGTATAGTAGGCACTTGATGTTTATTGACTGAGTGAATGAATGAAGGAAAAGACAGGGATAAAGTTTGTGTTAGGGGAAGAGTTCTAATGTAGGTTCTGTGAATTTGTTTTTAAAAAATACTTTAATCATTCATTTCAATGTAATTGATTTCCATTGTCATTTTGTATATTTTATGCATTTAAAAACATGATTCTGAGAAGAGATCTGTGAGTCTCACCATTCTGCTAAAGGGGCCTGTGCCACATGCTGAAAAGGTCAAGCATCACTGTGGTAGGGGATGCACATGCATACCATTGATTATAAAAGTAGGGGCAGAAGGAAGAGTTGTACCTTACAGAAAAAAATACCTCTGAGGAGAAGGACTAAGCAGCATTCTAATGGACTATGTAAGTCACTCTTCCTCCAAGGCCACAAACTATCCCTGTTAAATTCTCTAAAATGTAAAGCTCATGAAAATGATTGATAACCCTACTTTCAAGGATGATAGTTTGTCCATTGTTCTTTGTTTTCATGGTTTTTTTTTCTTGCTAGAACTCAGTTTTCTGAAATTGTGACTATTATCTCATTGTTTGCCAATTGTAAAGTCCCTTTGTTCTTAACTCTCATAACTGACCATTTGCTGTGTCGCAATCTCTCCTTATTTTAATTTTTTGTCTTCGAAGGCTATTTGAGGGTGATGCTGTATTGTGTAAGGCTGACTTTCTAGTTCCTCTGTCAGATCATGGCCTATGAAGAATACAGACTCACTTTACATAGTTTTGGTTGGCCCCATCTCTTCTAATTCTTTTGTTGTTGTTCTCCTGGGTAAGTTTTGTCTCAGAGTTGCCATCTTTGTAGTCATTCATATGTCAGAAGGCTTAATCACCTGCATTATTTATGTTTTACATGCTAACCCATATGCTTAATAGTCAGAACTGTAATCAGTAAGGAGGGAAGAATTGGGGAGGAAAACTACCCTATTAAGAGGAGAAAAATGAAAGCTTTGCCAAATGGTATGGTCAATAGAGCACTGGATGTAGGGTTAGAAAGACCTGAGTCTAGACCAGCCTCAGACACATGCAGCTTATGAGACCCTAGGGCAAGTCACTTAATCTTTGTTCACCTGTTTCTTCATCTGTAAAATAGAGATAATAGCACCTGCCTCCTAGAGTTATTGAAAGGATAAAATGAGATACTGTTTGTACTTTTGGAAATCTTAAAGTGCTTTATAAATACTAGTTATTTCTACTGCTTAATTATCCTACCTTAACACTAGAAGGACCAGGTGTGCCTATTGATGTAAAAATTTGCTTGTTCCTTTGGAGTGTTCTTAAATTTCAGACCTTCTATTAACGTGTCATGTGATAAACATACCATCTATACCTTTATTCAAGTATTTTATAAAAATTTTAAACAGCACAGGACAGAACACAAGTCCCTGGGACAATCCACTAAACACCTCCCAAGCTGACATAGACCCATTAATGACAACTTTGGGGGAAAGCCATTCAATCACTTCTAAATCCATTTAATTACTTCATTATCTGGCCCTCTTCTTTCAAAACTTTTTCCATACGAATGGCAAGAAAGGGTCCTCAAACACTTTGTTGAAATATAGGTAGACTACCTACTAATTTACAGCAGTGTTCCTGTGATTTACAAGTAGAGTAAACCTATCAGAAAATAAAATTATTCCAGTCTGACATGACTTATTCTTGATGAAGCCGTGCTAATTGTGTGTGTGTGATTAGTGCTTCTTTTTCTAGATATTTACGAACCATCCATTTAATGTGTTGTAGCATTTTACCAGGAATCAAAATCAAGCTATCCATCATTTGCAGACCTCCCTTTTTGAAAATTTAAACATTTGCCATTTTCTAGTGCTGTGGTCCCTCTTTCATTGTCCGTGGTTTTCAAAGGAAACTGATAGTGACTTCACAATCTTGTCTACTAATTGTTTCAGTGTCTGGGTTAGTGTTCCTTAGGAGCTAGTAACATACTTAAGGACAGATCAATATA